TTCCACGTACTTTTTACAATTATTTTTGGAACCCTTAAAAGAGTGTGCACCCCCAGGACCATCCACATGTCCTGGGAGAAAAGGCGTTATAACTTAGACTAAAGAAAAAGTAGGCATAAAAATAAGCGCCTATATTTCTGTACTGGGCCACACCCGGTAGTGGAGGACAGCATAATTACAACAGAGCAGGACTGTGTAAACCACATGAAGGTTGGCACAGGGGGCCACTGCTACTAAATATGACCAGAGCTAAAGTACAGAGCAGCGAGGTGACTGGGAGGAGCTGCTGAGAGACCCTTAACTGGAATCCCTGAGATAGAGAAGAGAGGCAGAGATGTGTGAAGTCACAGAAGTATGCTTAAGTTCCTAAAAATGATGACACTGAGCAGCATATCTGAAGAGTCAGGACAAAAAATTGAAAAAAAAAAAAAAAAAAACGAGAGGAAGACTGCGTGAGTCACTGTGAATCTTTACTAAGAAACAGAAATGGAATGGCAGGAGTTCCTGGAAGCACTCTGAATATTTTGCCAAACAAATGGAATTTACACCTAAGCAAATGGTTTATCTAAAGAACAGAGCACCTCAGCTGAGGGAACTTTGAATCTGTTTTGGTTGAACATTATGTGATTTGTGTGTTAGTGCATACAGTGACTCTGTTGCCTCAGTGTGCCCTCTGGTTAAACTGTCTGTTTGGGTTGCTACTGTACTTGAATTAATGTTTATTATACCCCATTATAAATTATGATAATTACTACTTTGTTTTAATCTTGTGCCTGGTCACTGAAAGGACTGAGATTGTTATTTAAAACAATGGTAGGAAATTTAATCGCTGAGTGACCTTTTCCCCTTCTTACCTTTTTTTTTTTTTTTTTGTAGCTCAAAGAGCACAAAAAAGCACAACTAATGCACAAAAATACAGGCTAAAAAGTTACTTTGGAATGTCACCTGAAATCCCTCTCCCTGAAACACTTTCCTTAAATATTTCATTTTGACCCTTGTGTATGTACGTCTTACCTTCAGTGTGTCTCTGTGTGTGTCTGCGTGTGTTTGAGACCATGTCACACCATTGGTCAGTGCAGTGGGGCCACTCCCCTCTCTGAACTCCCTCTGAGCCCCAGAGCTTTCTCCTCTGAGCTGCAGTGATGCAGCCGCAGTCAGTCGTCTGTCTGAGGCTTCATTGGGGAATCTGTTCCGTGTCTTCAGGTTAGAGAATCACCGTAACACGGGACGTTGATATTCCCTCCCATGTTTTTCGTGATTTTTGATAATATCTTGATGTCACGGCTCGACTAAAACAGCGGAGATTTAAAAATGCATCGAATAACGGGCAGAGGAGGCGGAGGAGACAACCTGATAGAAATGAGCCCGGCAGAGTCCTTTAACGGTGAGTAACTGAAGAAAACTGTCCAAATGACTCTGTAAAGGCACTGGGCTTAACTCTATTTGTATTCAAACGGCCCTGGTTAAAAATAACGTAAACATGTGTGTCTAACAAGTGTGTCTAATTTAATATATAATTTTTTCTAACTTAATTACTTCTCAAACAAAGAACCAAATAAGGAGTTTTTAGAGAGTTTAGGATTTGCGTCACTGCCACCGTGCTGCTGGATTTACCTTCTACACACACAGCAATTTTGGTATTTGGTCTTATTTTTTATTTTTTTATTTTTTTGGTCCGTTATTAAAACTTTCCCACTGGATTTACCCTACTTCACACGTCACAGTCTGAGCTTCTTTAGTCCCCTCATCGACATCTGCTCTGCTCACTGGAAACACTCAGTCACTGCAGGCAGAGCCAGGGCACCAACACGGCCTGAGTTAGCTTCCGCTGGATAGATGTGGATTTAAAACGTGTTTTTCCAGGTTTGCTTCATATTGGAGTAACTAATTGAGTTAACTGGAATAATTAGGAGAACAAACAATCCTAGACGCCTCTCTCCCGACATAAACTGTTTATTTAAGTTCGTTTAAGTTGTCTTGAGAAAAGTGTGCTAATTTTCCAACATTTTAAAGAGGGCATCGTTTTGTAACTGTAAATGAGATTGGGGGAATTTATGGTTGTTGTCCAGATAATTTTGTTAAATAACAACTAGCACTCTTAAGCAGTTTCTAAACTAGTCTTATGCTAACCTTGAGCCGTTTTTGGCAAATTGGGAACTATTTTTTGTGTATTTGTAATAGCATAAAAACGTATAAACCTACATGACAAACATGACAGACAACTGATTACTTCCTGTCACAGGAAGTTGGAGAAACCCACCCACTGTGTTTATGTACAAAATACTTAAAACATGACAGTTGATTTTTAATGTTAAACTCATTGGTTGTTACTGAATAAATGGAGAGGTAAAAATCTGTTGGCCGAATCTGATTATTTTTATAGTTACTACTAATGTTTCTGTATGAATAACAGTTTACATAAAACTTGTTAAAATAGTTGAGTTGCCATGGTAATAGCCAGAGCAGGGCAGCAGCAGGCTTCAGGCAAGGCCACAGTGATCAGCTGCTCCCTCTGAAACAAAGCTACAAGTGTGGCAACAACTCAGTGAGTTGGGAAAAGACTCCTGGCGTCAGTGAGTGTTTAATGCTGAGTGCTCTGTAAAGTACTGCGTCCAACTGTGCAGAAATATGTCCAAATGTTTCAGAAGCATCCTCATTTGTTATACAGTCTATACTATCTGTCAACACAGATGTATCATAATGATTCGATTGCTAGTTTTAATTGTGACTACATAAAACAGTATGTTGTATATTTTGTTCTCATAAATTCAATATAGACTAGTAAAATTATACCTTTTGCTTTTTCTTTCTAAAATGTAGCCAAATAAACCAAATAAGGAATACAGTAACATAACATGTATTGCATGCTAAGCTGTATGCGGTACAGGTTTTGAACCAGTAAGTTCTACTTTGGAGACTTGCTCTGTAATAACATGGAGGTGGACGATGTTTATACTGTATAGAGCACGGTTTAAATGCTTGTTTCGGGGCTGGTTAAAGACATTCTCTGTGTTGAGTCCAGACTAAATATAACCTTGGAGAGGCCGTCATTTTAGATGGTTACATATCTATTTAAAAACACAGACGTGCAGGCAGAAACTAGCTTTCTCTTTCATTTTATGGCTGATAATAAACCCAGGAAACTTACTTAGCTGTTTTGACATTTGTTAATGTGAATTCATACAGCCACTGGCTTTGTATTATTTTACAGAGATTTTGTTAAGTCATTCCCTCTGGTCTGTGGGAGCACGGTCTAAAAATGCTGTTCAGATACAGAGCACATGAGTGTCACTACTGACAGTTAGGTTGTGTGAAGTAGTTTTCCTCTTTGGAGGCAGCTATGGTGGGTAAGCATGTTATTTCTAGCCCACAGTAAACATAACCAGGGCTTCCAGGTGCACCACGTTGGTGACCCCTCCTCTACACTCTGCCCTGTTTTATTATGGCAGTGTTAAATTTGAGGATTTCTAACCTTATCTTATCAAATCTCTCCTGTAGGTCAGCCATTTTCTCCCTAGCAGAGACTGCTATTGTTGGGGATTTGGGTTTGCTATTGTTTGTTTTTGTTTGTTTTTACCGAAATACTGACCTTCTGTTAAATGTTTTGACCTTGACCTACAGATTTCACACTGGTGCAATTATTTTATCAATAATGACAGTTGATAATTTAAAAAAAGTGATTGTATTTGCTTTTCTCTTGCAGATGATATAAATGGCTACCAACAACATGGCTCTTCCAGCACAGGATCTCTGCAGCAGGGACAATTAGGGGTAAACCACTATCTAATCACTAGCACACATTCACATAGTTAGTCACTGTTGACCATGTAATCTGAAAATGTTTTCAGTTAACCAGATCAGTATGTGTCCCAAAGATAATCTTCCTTTAGTTGGACAGTGTGGATTTGGCTGATACATGATCAAGAATTAATTCTGTTCTTTGTATACTGTGCTTAGTTAAACAGGCTAGGAACGTGCTGCTGGTATTTGGAGAGCCACAGATCTTTAGATTGCTGCTTAGATTGTAAAAAGTTTCTTGAAGACGTTTCAACAATGATGAGGCTGCCAATGTCCACGGAATTGACACATCTATTTTCGTAAATTTAAGCTTTTTTTTTTTAGCTTTTCCAATGTAAGGACGAGTCGTTCATAAACAGGTTGTCACTGCAAACCAGCATTGGATCACTTCTCTTTCATCTCACTCATGTAGACCTCTAAACAGGAAGTTCAGTGTGTCCTAGTTTGAAGGTTTATTTAAAAAATCCTCCATTTTAGATCTGTAATTGTACTGCGCCTCTTTGTTTGAACTAATCTAGTTTGATGTGTAGTTCTGAGGTCATTAGATGTTTGTGAGATAACACTCTTCTGTCTTTTCTCCTCCATCACACTGTACGTAAGTCTTTTTTAAAGCCTGCTGTTAGTGTTGGGAGCTGCGAGTCTATCAACGTCAGTCTGGCCTCCTTGGCCCAGTCTGATCACAGTGACAGTCCAGACTTTGAGGGTCAGACATTAGAGCGAATCAGTTCTATGACCGGGGTAAGAAACCAGTGACAGAAGCAGATGCATGTTGCTGTGTAAGTGTGTGTCTGAAGCTTACTTTTACTCACAACTTTTACTTCATTCATTCATTCATTTGGTTCCCCCACAGCTGTGGAGAAAACGGGCTCTCTTTCTGAAGTTTCGTGCAAGGGTATGGCATGGTAAAAAAAGAAAAAGATGCTTGTGATGTTATGCTTCTTTTTGCAAATAGCTGCCTGCCAGACTTTATCCATGAAAGTTTTAGTAGTGCATCAAAAGATGAAGAAATATTAAAACTTAAACGATCTAAGATCTGTTAGTGACTACTGGTGATTGTGCCTTCTGGTGAGCATGTTGTTGTTTTTTTTCTGCAGAAAGAGTAATGGAAACCTTCTGGCATGAGATCTACTGAAGATGCTCTTTAACGATCAGTTCATTAAAAATAGATCAGGTCTTTTTCCTTTGCTTTGCTCTCACCTACAATAATCTTCTGCTCCAGTGAGGAGAAAGCAGTGGCCATTTAGAGCTACACTCTAATTAGAACACACAGGGCCAAACACACGCTTTGTTCACTGTACGTGTCATTTGCCTTGCCGTGTTGTGTGTATGCATATGTGCATACACTAAATGCAGTCTACACTGTAATCAGGACCCTGTTCAAGCCCATGAAAGGAGTGACCTTTGCTGTGGTTAACCACATTTTCAACTGTCTGTTTTTTTTTTCTTCTAAAGTACAGTTTGGTCAGTGACGGTGTGTCTAGCATTTTAATGAAAAGTGTAGTGATTACCCTCAACTAATCTTGAAAGAAAAAAAAAGCTGCAATCAGCATCTCTTGTAATGTGTCTCTTTAAAATTAAGGCTACATCAAGAGGGTTCCACGACCAGGCAGCAGCACATCTATAAATGTTCTCTGTGATCAAGCTGAGTGCAGTTCTCCTCCCATAAGACATGGGGCTTTTCGGGTGGCTGTGGATGAGATGGGAGTTCAGTTGCCTTACAGACCAGAGGTTGTAGGGTTTGAGGGTTGCCTTGTTGTTTGTAGTTGAATGTGTGGTCGACAGGAACAGAAAAGCAGAATTGAAGCACAGACCATTACAAATTAAAACTGTTAACTGTTGCTACCATTTTAGGTATACTTCACGTCTGCATTGTTTCTGCTGTGAAAGTATTCCTGGTTGGTGTTACGATGCCACAAATAGTTCTCTATAATTCTCAGCATTCAGCACAAAGTTTACTCCTTGAGTAGAGACAGACAGTTATATTGATTTCACTGACCACTGTTGAATAGATGATTATTTAGTTAAAAGAAACCTTTAGACTTTACTGGAAAAAGAAAGATCTTTGGTTCCATTGGCTGTTAAGATCTTTTTTTATTTCCAAGTAATATTCATTTGTACATCCTACAACACTAATTTTCACTAAGTATTGAAGGACAGTAAATAGAAATGTCAGCCATAAAATGTCTAAGCACAGATTTTTGTCAGTGAGAATGTTAGCTAACGGTTTGCCAAATATACTTTAAAATACAATAAAATAAAAAATACAAAAATTAAATGATGTTATCAATATAGGCAAACTAGCTAACCAATTAGTAAAGTAGGCTCAAAAATATAGTTTACAAATATAGCTAGATAAATGTTTTTGTTTTAAGCACCTGAAAAGCCTTGGTTAACAAAACATCAGTTATAACCATGGAAGAAATCCCGGAGTTTAATATACTAGACCAACATTAAAGACATGCCCAGTATTCTTGCCAGTCGTTTTTGCAGTACTAATTTGAGGGTGTACATGAGGTTTTAAAAATGGATACTTGTTCTTCAGAAACTCCTCCCTGCCTCTGAAAGGCTGTGCATGTATCACCGTGTACAACATCGACCAAAGATGAGATTTAAATGTCTGTTACTTAGTAAATGTACAGAAGTTCTCTGCTGTGGCTTCACTCAGCAGGGCCCGGTCTGTGCAGATGCACTGATTCCATACGGATCATGGGTCTATAATTACTGCAAATTACAGAGGTACTGCAGTGATGTTACAGTAAAAGAAAGCAAGCGAACTGCCATGATCAACATGCTCCAATCTGGATTGGGAGGTAACGTCGACCAGAGGTTGGAGAATGTGCCTTAGTGGACTAAAACAGGATGGAGCGTGTAGATGGAAGGTCGGGAGTTAATGCAGATGCATTGTGTGGTATCGGTTTACATGCATTTTACATCAGCAATATAGACAGAGTGCTTTTCACCAGTGGGTATTAGGATCCATTGAGATACACAAGTCACATGCTGGCAGTAGTGGTCTGTAATAAGCTTTTTTGTTTACAAGAAAATATCTTTGCTAGCCTGGATATGTCTCATAAAAGTACACAAAAGGACATTTTAGGTGTCCTCATTGAATCTGTTTTTATTACTAAAATTTTTGTAGAGAGATGATGTTTGCATTTTTATTCTAGCTAATCTCAGCAGCAGTGGCAGCTACACTGTGTCTCAAGGACTGTCCTCTCATTCTCTCCTGTGCTCCCTCCTCCGCTGTCTCTTTTTCTCTGTTTTTCCAAATGTCTGAGCAAGTGAGGGCTTGTTGTAGGAAGTGGCTGCAGCTCCTCTGACTGTGCAATCAGAGGAGTAGGACAAGCAGTATTTTCTGCACTGGATTGTAATCCCGGAAAAAAGCATTTTTGCTCAGGCAGTCGGATTTTCTATGGATGCTGCATCATACACTCGAAGGGAGTGGGTCATGAAGGTAATGTGCGCTTCCTGTTCTCTCTATCCACTCCAAGCATTAGAGCGACAAACAGGACCACATCTCTGGAGCTACAAATAAGGAGTGTTGTAGTTTCTGCTAAACATCTGAGTTCTGTGACTCATCTGCAGCTCAGTGTAGGCTGTCACTGCACTGACGTGCTGTGATGACAGTTGTGCATGTTTTATTTTTAGCTTTCTAAGCAGCTGAAGCAGACATACCTTCCTGTCCTGCTGTAAAACATTTCTCTCTACTTCACTTTACCCCAGTTATGTAGCTGTTAGCATTAGCTACATAGAATCCCCTAAGTCACTGCTTCAAGTGGTAAGATTGAGGAAAAGAAATCTTGGACATTTCATCGTGTTTGAACTAAGGGCATGCGCTTTTGCAAGTAGATATTTGTAATTTTTTTCTGTTCAAAAAATAAAATGACTCATCAGTCTATAGTTCATTAGCTGGACTACGTGCAGGCCAATGGAGCAAACACATAGCAATGATTTATAATGTGTGCAGAAGACTGGCACAAACCCACAGCAGCATGTCTGCATCGTTTATTGTTAACAATGTCACTGTTCTTGTTTTGGTTTTTTGGCACATGAACTCAAAATTATTTTGCTAGAGGCTCCAGATATCATGTATTTTTTTTACTCTGTCCTAACCTTTGTCAGAATAGAGATTGCATTGCAGGTGTTATTTTCTAAATATTTTTACATTTACCCAGAATGATTTTGTTTGTAATGTAAAATACTAAAAAGACTGTTTATTTCTTTATTCTATCATTGTTGAAAATAGTCTAAAAATAAGGAATGACCAAAATACAGATTTTATTTCCCTTGTATTAATATATATTAGACCTGAAATCATAGCATCCTTAATATGTTTACTGATTGAATCTGTTATTTATTTACTGTATTTTGTATTTCATCAGTAAGTAGTAATAACAGATTTCCCTGCTGTAGCACATGTCATATTTGGAGTGAGATGCTGAGATTTCAGATTCTGACTAACTGTTGAATGTGTGTGGTTTGATGTGGTGTGAATGACACATTTGGGGTTTCTCTGTAAGCCGCTGACAATGTTTGTTGTGCTGTAGATTGCATACAGGATCTCCTCAGCTGATACCTCCTCAGCCTACTGCACGTCTTATTTACATCTGTGACCTCTCATTTGTCCTCTACAGATTGACAAACAACATCAGAGTAAAGACTCTGTGTTCTTCCGTGATGGCCTGCGCAGGATTGATTTTGTCCTGTCGTATGTTGATGATAAAGATAAAGATGAAGCCAAAAAACAGGTGAGAGAAATTATGAGTTTTTTTCCATTTTGTGACATAACCATTAAGAACTGGTTCTTGCAGGATGTGCTCAGTGTGAGTCAGTAGCATTCCCCAAATACCACAACACAGACAAGGCTAGATAATACTCTCAGTGAGTTCCTTTGAGAAGGTTTCCACTGTAAAAATGGACTCACAGCCCCACTTTCTTTGATTTATACTTTAATGCTTTCTTCTTTGTTATCGTTTTTGAGAGGCTCTCTTTGCTAAAGCAAGCTGAAAGCCTTTTTTAGTGTTTTAAGTCTGAACTGTTACTCTTCACATATAAATGTTGGCACTTCTCAGATATGTGGCAGTTTGTCACCTCTGACTCAACTTTTGGCCACAGCCTCGTTAGCCACACAACAGTCAGACTTCTAGCCTGGTCAGAAAGGGATCATTTTTTCCACTGACTAAGGGAGGCCAGAGAGGAGGATACTTCCTTCCTAATCTCTGTGCTGCAATTTTATAATCCGGCTCTTATCTCAGTTTTACTTACTGACGCTGCAGAGAAAGTAACCTTATCCTTTCTCTCAAAGTATTTATGAAATAACACTAGTGTTGCTGGTTTTAATAAGTTGTCGAAGAGCCTACAATACACTGTATTGTGTAATAAGTCCTATTTTTGTCCAGTAATGGGAGAATTTACAGATAAATGTAGAAAAGTGTAGAGTGAGTGGCTGTATCAGTGAAACTGTATTCATTTTTTATTATAATCATATTTCTCAAACTTGTTATGATGTCATGATGATGTTAACTGGACATGCTCAGTTGACCATAGGATTGATTGTCACTGTTAAAGTATGTAAATGAAGTTATTTGATAGCAAATGTAACTGTTTTCTTTTTCTACAGGAGAGGAGGAAGGTTTATGAATCCAATTTAACAAAAGTTGGTCTGCAGCTTGAAACAGAAGATAAATCAGTAAGAGCAATTGTCATATAATTTAATGTATTTTGACATATTTAATATTATTATTTAGGCAAATAAGTTTACTTTCACACTGCTGAATTATTATCGTGGATTTTGTTTAGTATCAAGAAGCTAATTACATTCTGACCTCTGTGGATACACAGGAATCCCAGGATGGGAAGACTTACTTTGTGAAAGTCCATGCTCCCTGGGAAGTGTTGGCCACCTATGCAGACGTACTGAAGATCAAGGTTCCCTTTAAAATCAACGACATCCCAGATAACACGGAGATGCCCATGAACTGGCTGTCCACTCCCTTTCGTCTGCCAGAGCACATCATGCATCCTGAGTCTGATTATTTCACAGCTCCTTTCAACAAGAGCAAGTCTGACTTCTTCCTTATCGACAACAAAGACACATTCTTTCCTCCTTCAACTCGAAACAGGATAGTAAGAAACCTTTTTGCTGCATTTTCTTATCTTGTTTGTGCCGCTGAATAATGCTCCATGTTAAAAACTGTTATCAGGAATTTACTGTGACATTGTAGAAGAGTTTACAATAAATGAAGCCGTCTAAAAATAAGGCATTTAATTTGATCCTATAATTACATGTTTGCGTGCTTAGAGGGAGATTTTATTTTAATGAAATCTTTGACATTTCAATTTTTAATCCTCTTTTTCTTCTGCTGCTCAGGTCTTCTACATCCTGTCCCGCTGTTCATACTTTAGGGATGAATGTACAGATAAGGACAAGAAAGGAATCAAGAGGTTACTCAACAATGGCACCTACACTGCTGCCTTTCCCCTGCATGATGTGAGTTCATTTTCGTTCACCTGACTCGTTTTCACGTGCTCAATGATTTATAACAAAAATATCCATTTGGAGGCAATGTTAGATGTCAACATGCAACAACTCTGTTAATGAGGTTTGTTGTTGTGTTCTTACAGTGTAGGTACTGGATAAAGTCGAGGGATGCTAACTGTGAAAGTGAGAGAAACACACTGCATAAACACTGGGCCAGATTCTTCTGTTTCTTTAAGGAGCAGCCACTCAACCTCATCAGGCAAGATGTAAACAGATGTCATGTCCAATGAGTACGTACATTGACTAGTGGAAAAACCCAACCTTTATGATTTGTTTTTCAATCTCCTACAGGAAGTATTATGGCGAGAAGATTGGTATTTATTTTGCATGGCTGGGTTTCTACACTGAGATGCTGTTGTTTGCTGCCATCGTTGGTACAATTTGTTTCATCTACGGATTTCTAACCTACGATGACAATGAGTGGAGGTAAGATATAGTGGAACTTTTGCCGTAATTTCAGGAATTATCTTTTGCCTTTTTTAATAAAACCTCACATTCATTTTCCCAACAGTAAAGAAATATGCAGTGCTGAGATTGGAGGCCAAATTATCATGTGCCCGCTGTGTGACAAGAAATGTAGCTACTGGAAACTCAACACAACCTGTAACTCCTCATGGGTAAACATTCTAATTGGGTGACTCATGGTGCTCATGATTAATGTTTCTGCCCACGCACAGAATGTGACATTTAAATATTATTTAAAATGAACTAACTGTTGGCTCTTTTCTTTCAGCAATCGCACCTGTTTGACAATGTGGGAACAGTGTTTTTTGCAATATTCATGGGGATATGGGGTAAGTCAAGATTAGTCAAACCACTGCACCACCTAGTGGAAGCTACTGCAGTATTACTCGTAAATGATGACTGCTTAGAATCAGTATATATTCGTTTCCTCCTGCTAACTTGGTCTGCTGTGATGATGTGCCGTTATTGTGGGGTTTTTCTGTAGTGACTCTCTTCTTGGAGTTCTGGAAGAGGCGACAGGCACGTCTTGAGTATGAGTGGGATCTGGTTGACTTTGAGGAGGAGCAACAGCAGCTGCAGCTTCGGCCTGAGTATGAGACCAAGTGCACCAAAACCAAGATGAACCGCATCACTCAGGTGTTTGTGTTCTCATGATACAACCTTTTACACTTTGCAGTTTATTGGCTTGATCACAGATAAAGTAAAAGTACTTTAACACTTCTTCTGGACAGAGCAGTGCCAGAGAGTGTCAATTCTATAAAACAGGGTGCTTTAATGTGCTGTGACCACATTCCACTCATCTGTAGGAAACAGAGTGGGTTCTTAGGAGGACTGCCACAGATCTAATGGGAAAAGTGTGTCTGTGCTGGGTCACCGTGATTCTCTGGGTAAGGGTGGCCTTTATGAGGAATGTTGGCAGTATTAGTAGAGGAAGGTTTTGGTGTGGTGCATTTTGTGTCAATAACAGACATTTCTGGAAAGACTTTGAGGCACGAGTTTTCTCTCCACTACATCAGTGTTTTTTCGGTGGACAGTGTTTTCAAAAAGTTTTTTTTAAGCATGACAAAAGGCTTGGTGACATACAAAAAGTTTCAGAGTGAATGCCTTCATGCAAATAGGGCATGAAATTGGGCATCTTAGCTCTTTGTCTTATCTGAGGGTTACAGCAATTAAAGGATCCTGGCCTAAAGTTGTCTTTTCAGGATATAACAGTGGTAACTGACTGCTGTGCTCATGCTTTGCTTACTTATGGTGTAGGAAATGGAGCCGTACTTACCCATAACAAGCAAGTATGCACGCTTATGTCTCTCTGGAGCAACTGTCGTTTTCTGGGTGAGCATTGAAACTTTGGTTCACTTTATCTATTAAAATATTTTTGTCCCTCTCTGTTTCCCATCCTACTGTTCCAAATTGTTGCAGTGAACAGTATCATGTGAGCTGAGCCTGTATGTATTAAGCTTACAGTTAACAGAGCTGTATCAAATGCAGCAGCTGTTGGTGATGTCATTCTTCGGCTTATTTCCTATCCATTACCGCGGTGAGGATTCCCTCTCTATTCCGGGTGTCATCACATCACTGAGTCGACATTTGTTTAGGCTAACCAGGCTAACAATAAATCAATTCTACTGCCCTAAATTTGGATATTGTATTTTCATTATTTATTTTGCATTTAGCTTTGATCAATTGTGGCTCCAGACATTAGCATACCTGTGTCACTGCTGATCATCTTGTATGGGAAGTCAGCCGTAACTTTATATCTGGCAGTGATAAGGGCTAGTTCCAACTCTCGCCAAAAATGTGGCTCTACATTATATCAATGGTGACTCATTACTCACCACATCTGAGTCACCAAGACTCAGGCTTTATACTGCATGGGCTCAGAACATCCTGCTGTTGTTCACTGGAACTGTCATGGTCTTTTCATGGGGCACGTCTGAACATTTTTCTGCCTGATTCCTAACATCTATGTTTGTTGCAATTCCTCTCATTCTTTTATTGTCTGTGATTTTGGAGTGATAGAGTGGTGCGTTGCTGTAGTTGTCTTTCATGTTGCCACTATTGTCTCTGTCCTGAAGATCTCATTGATCATTGCCTGCATCATTGGGGTGATAGCGTACCGCCTGGCGGTATATGCGGCCTTCGCCAGCATCATGAAGGACAGTCCCACCAACAAACTGGAGGTGGTCGGCCCCTACATCACACCACAGCTGGCCACCTCTGTCACCGCCTCCTGCATCAACTTTGTCATCATTATGATCCTCAACCTCATGTATGAGAAAGTGGCTGTTTGGATCACAGATATGGGTGAGGGTTTAGAGTAGGGGTGCTCAGATACTTTTATTACAGTTGGTCAAGCCACAAGCCATATTACTGTCATTTAAAACAATATTTTTATTCAAACAACAACATAAAAAAATAATAAAATACAATAAAATGCCTTTTTTGACATAAATTCAAGTAGAGACCCAAAGAAACTACAGAGAATCCAATACAAATGTATCAGGGGATGGGGGGTAAATATAGACACAAATGATCAAGGTGAATCCAGGATCTAAGGAATTCAAGTAGCGTTGAGTGAAGTGAAAATATAAAAGCGATTGTTGGCATGGAGATAATAGAACATTTATTTTCCACAAATACATGCTAGAGCAGTCCACAAATAAATGGCTTGTGGGCCGTAAGCAGATCGTTGTCCATCATTTTGGGCCCTAGGTTTTAAAGTGAACAATTATTTTCTATCATTGTCCCTATTATCCCCATCTGTCTATCATTATACACTGTGATATTTTTTTTTCATTTATTTATTTATTTTTTCTTTCTCTCCATAATGTGACAGAGATACCAAAGACTCACCTAGAATATGAGAACAAACTCACAGTGAAGATGTTCCTCTTCCAGTTTGTTAACTACTACTCCTCCTGCTTCTACGTGGCTTTCTTCAAGGGAAAGTTTGTCGGCTATCCTGGGAATTATGCTTACATGTTTGGAAAGTGGAGCAATCTGAGAAATGAAGAGGTACTAGATATATTCTTATGGAAGTGTAGGATTAGCATTATGGTGAGTTTATTTTGGTCTCCTAATCTTCCCAGTGTGACCCCGGTGGCTGTCTGATTGAGTTGACCACTCAGCTGGTCATAGTGATGACTGGTAAACAGGTGTGGGGAAACATCCAAGAAGCTCTGGTCCCGTAAGTACAGCAACAATCGTCTCTTTATAGCCACTGTTAACAGATGAATGCAGCTGTTAAGTGGATGTCAGAGGGTCTGAAAAGATCTCTATCACCCCGTCTGAGTCAGGTGGCTGATGAACTGGTGGGGCAGCAGGAAGGCACGAAACCAACCGGAGAGTCTTTACAGCCGTTGGGAGCAGGACCACGACCTGCAGGTCTTCGGACCTTTGGGACTCTTCTATGAATACCTGGAAATGGGTAAACATTGCTTCAAAAATCTTCAGTTTTATATACAAAAGGAGAATGTGACATTGCTTCAAAAATCTTCAGTTTTATCTAGGGTCAAGGCTTATCTAGGGTCAAGAACCAATGTCCCAAAATCATCATCAAGAAAGGTTTAGGATGAACTTAAGTTACAAAAGTAAAACATGTTTAAAGAAAACAGAACAAATACATTCTGAGCTTTAAATTATCATTACGGTAATACATTATACTCCACATTTAATGTCAAGAAACAGGTTTAAGGTATTATCCTCAACAATTGTGTGTACCTTTGTTTGTTTAATGGCCAGTGGATCTATAGCATGATTAAGAATATATGATTCGGAGAACTTTAGTATGCAGTATGAGTCCCAGATATCCTGTAGATGGTGCTGTTTCCCTGATATTGATCTTGACTCGCCATTGCTCTCTGTGTCCCAGTGATCCAGTTTGGTTTTATTACGCTGTTTGTGGCCTCCTTCCCTCTGGCACCCCTACTGGCCCTTATCAACAACATCATTGAAATTAGAGTGGACTCCTGGAAGCTCACCACTCAGTTCAGACGACCTGTGGCATCCAAGGCCCACAGTATTGGTGCCTGGGAGGAAATCCTCAGTGGAATTGCAGTCCTCTCTGTAGTGACAAATGTCAGTGTACAACACCACTCTCATCTACGTGATGTTATATGTTTATATGGTTGTTTTACTCACAGGTTTACCTTGTGGTTACACAGGCATTTATTGTGGCCTTCACCTCTGACATGATCCCTCGACTCGTGTACATGTACGCCTACAACCCGGAGCATGAGATGAACATGAAAGGCTACATCAACAACAGCTTGTCCATTTTTAATATATCTGCAATTCCACCTGAGAGCAGGCCGGAGGACGGAGAGAATCCTGCCTGGTTCAACAGCTCCATTAATACCTGCAGGTGGGTGTGTGTGCGTGCATGCGTGTGCATGTATGTGTGCGTTTATGAGAAGGATAGAGGGAGAAAGAGAGAGGGACATTTACCTCGACGTTTTTAGTCCTTTTGTGACATCATCTAAGAATCACAAAAAGTGTCAAAGTGTCCAAAAATGACTTATATGTAGTGTATACGTTACTGTAAATGTCTCTGGTGGGAGATTTTTACAGAAAACAGTCACAATCTTCATCACAGGCAGAAGGTTTTTTGTTCTGAATAAAAAGGTTCTTATTGACACACAGCAGTTATTCTCATTACAAATGGTCTGAACCTAGTCAATTATACACAACATCTATTTTACTCAAAATTCCAATTCACTTAATAGAGCTCATGTTCTGTTGAGGGTATTATTGACTTTGAGCTGAGATGAAGTGAAAAGCAGGTCTTTCTGTAAGTCACCCACAGTGACGTTGGTAATCGTTGTTTTTCTTTTGTTTGTAGGTATCGTGATTACCGCTATCCTCCTGGCCATGAGAAACAGTACTATCACACCATGCAGTTCTGGCATATTTTAGCTGCCAAGCTCGCTTTCATTATAATCATGGAGGTAAAACTGGACCCGACCTCTTCCTCACAGAATTTTCATCACTTTCAAAGTATCAGTATTTCTTACTTTAATTCTTCCAAAGCGTGAGTCTTGGGTTCAAACCAAATTGTCTAGACATTTTGATCAAAGTAGATCATTATCCTGTTCTGCTTTGTCCTTCCACAGCACGTTGTCTTCATGGTGAAGTTCTTTGTAGCCTGGATGATCCCTGACGTTCCCTCTGATGTCAGAGCTCGGGTGAAAAGAGAACGCTACCTGGTCCAGGAATATCTCCACAACTATGAGGTGGAGAAGCTGAAGATTCAGCTCAGCCATCATGACAACAATGAGTGTACCTGTGAACCCATGATCTATCCGTCTCTACCGAGACACGAGGTTCTGTCTGAGTGTCTCTAGCCCAGGGAGCAAGGTGATGTGTGATTGCAGTGACCATCACTCTGCTGTAGTGCCAGTGACAACCACAGTTAAAAACTACAGCAGTTGACAGCCGTTGTTCTACTAATCTGGTGAGAGTTAAAATGCTCCCAGACGAAAGACCAAGTTTCCATGCATGCTGGACTCAAGTGCTGCCTCATAGGTATAGCCCGTTTCCCTCTGCATTATAATCACTGTGAGGAAGAAAAATCCAGTTTGCTATATGAAAGGAAAGAAAAGCAAATAAAATGTATTTATTTTTTAAATTTATAATTACCGGTAACCAAAGATTGAATGCCTTAATACATCACACTACCAAATAGAACAATACATATTATTTGAAAAGTGACACGTAGCTTAATTCATTTTTAATCTCAAATTATATCTGTATGTTTAAATACATGCAAAGTTAATTGCATTAACTGTAAATTTACATTCAGCTAATTTATTTCTGAAATAAATATGACTATCATTTAATCATCACACAGATACAACACACCAGTAGCAAAAATTTGTATATGTTTTTACAGGCCTGGTTATTCGCCCTGTTCTTGTTATAACACGACAGTAACTGCTGGACAAAAGCTGGCATGTGAAGTAGGTTTTATGAAGAGAAATGTTGTGCTGCTGCTGTTTAAACTGTGAGGGCAGATTCCCTTTTCTGCCGCGGCCAGTTGTCAAACAGCATCTACAGCAGCTGTTGTATGTTTGACTGTTGATAGTCAGACTTGTTCTTGGGAATCTGAGAAAGAAAATGCATAAAAGAGAGAGAAGTGTTGCTCAAGTGATGTTCCTCTGCACCAACCTGCTCAACTCTGTTAAATATAGCATTGGCTATGATTACATGTTACGTTTGTGCCTTTAGTTTTTCCTGCTTTGTACCTATAGTGAAGTTAGTTACACATTTGTTTGCACAGAGCACTTAACAAAACCACTCTTCCAAGACAAACACGTCACTGTTGCTTTACAACACGACCTGATATGAGTAATATTTACCATCAGTATTTAATGTTGATCTAATTGGAATGACAGTTTCACTGTTGTAAAAAGTCCCTACTTTGTTTATTTACGTTACTGTCTACAGTAAGTAGCTTCTGGTTTTTGAATTAAAATAAAGGCTATGTGATGCTTCCTACATTAAAGTGCCAACATACAGTACATTTACGGAGATTGAAGTATTTGATTTAACATTAAATGGCCAAAAGGCTGTTCGTTGACTCAGGCATCTAAAACTTTTTTGACAGTAGGATACTGTATGTAGTTGTGACCACTTAAACTGAGAGCAGACATTTTACTTTCTTGTCCTGTACTTATAGGACTTTTCTTTATGTTTCTGGTGATGCCTTGATGATTTTTTTTTTTACTTCTTTAAATTACTTTTCCACTTTTTTTTGTTTTCAATTTTGTGCTAAAGTAGATGTCTTTTAAACGTTAATTAACGTGTGAAACTGTTTACTGTATGTTTAAAGATATTCCTGTGTTGCTGTCATTTTTTAAGTTCCTTTTACTTTTGTAAATGTCCAGTATAAAGTTGTTC